GTTCAGTCCAATAAAAATTGAACCTCAGCAGCTGATGCTCCTGGACATTGAACTAGAAGCCTCACTGGTACAAAGTTCGAGCGACATCGAGCCGGTGCGGAACAAGACGGCAGTCATTGGAGACATACCAGACGCAACCAACCAAGTAGACCCCTCACGCTTTGACCGCACCATCCACCTTGGTCACTTGCCTTTGAACTGACACAAAAGCACAGCGAGATTTTGCAAGCACCTCCGATAGCTAAAGGGGAAATGATACGAGGACATCTAGTCAAAGAAAACGGAGATGCTGAAAGGCGCGGAAATGAAGAAAAACTAAGCAAACTTGCCGAAAACACGTAGGGTTCCCAAGCTGACTTTGAGCAGCAACTGGTTTTACTTCGAAGAATGTCGATGTCCAAATCAGAGACGAGAGCAGACGTTAAGGACGAGAGAAGGACCAAAGGTGACAGACACAAACATTAAGTAGCATGGCGTCCCCACGCGGCCAATTGGTTGTGGGGTTCCCATCCAGAGGTGTTGCATCAATCCTTTTGAAGCTGTACTATGTCGTTTCCGAAGCTTCTCTTGCTGTAAAAATTTCACTCATCGTCTGCATTGGCCTTCCCGCTATGCATATCTACCATACATGATCGACCTAATTGTCGCTTCCCTGCTTTTGAAGCAACAATTCCAGATCGAATTCGTGGGGCAAAAACGGTCGATAATGAAGTTGTAGATGGCGAGTTGACTGCTAATGGGAAAAGCGGGAAAAAACCGCCGATGATTGCTTTGAACAGGAACTCCTCTCTTCCTTTTGAAATGAAGGGAGGGCGTGTCGGACGAGTTGTCTGAAATGGCTTGCATTTCTTGCAGGCTCGTGCCAGCAAGAAATGCAAGCTATTTCAATGCGGCTGCTCAGCCAATCACGCGTGCTCCACGGCTGCAAGTGGGGTGTGGTTCACTAGGACAGAAAGCGAATTTTCGCGTTTCGCAGCGCGAAACACATTTTCGCTGCAGGAACCTCAGGTTCATCGCTGATTGTTGGTCAGGCTGGTCCAAAATTTCCTGTGTGATGTTGTTTTAACGCGCAAGAAGTCGCTTGACTGTCCGTGGTGGTGAACCACAACCTTCTGGGATCGTGCGCAGCCGGCTGGTTCGGCCCGCTTACGCGCTCAAGCCATTCGACTCCTTTAGCGACTTTCCAGGTGAGTTTTTAATTTCAGCTGATACTTCTTATGTTTTAATAGTTACATTGCTTTTCCACTCATTAGAATCGAATGGTTAAAAACCTGGCTGGACTTTGTTTAGTCACGTAGAAGAACAAAAAAAATTCGACAGCGAAATATTTCACAAGAATAAAGGGCTCAGCCCATACCACTAGATGACATTTACAAGACAGGTCGACTTAAAAGAAGACCAATCCGAAATTTTCACTGATAAATGAAAACAGTAACAATGTATGCTGTAAACCACACACCAACCATGCTGGGGTGCGAGAGTATTCCGGCGTTACACAAAAGTACTCGTCTTGTTCCAAGTATTCCTCTTATACAAAAGGCGGAATAGGAATATTTATAATGTGTCCATCTATCGAGCAATAGTTTTGCAGCTAAAATAAACAACTATTTAAACTTATATACCATGTCGAAGAAAAGAAAAACAGACACAGGACGAGCACAAAAATTTGGAGCAACATGACAACACCAAACAAAAGTGGAGTGAGACATAATAAATGCGTTCAATGTTTCTGTACAACGTAACACTTCGTGTTCACTACTATTCACAGCCACTCCACCTCTCCACTTCCACCGAAAAGTACTGTATCTGTCACAAAGAGTAAAAGAAGGGCCTTCACTTTACATCGCCTCAACACCCTTCATTTCTTGTGAACAATTCTATTCAACAGACCCAAGCAAGGTGTGGTTCACTAGGACAGAAAGCGACTTTTTCGCGTTTCGCAGCGCGAAACATTTTTCGCTGCGGGAACCTCAGGTCCACCGCTGATCATCAGTGGACCTGAGGTTCCCGCAGCGAAAAATGTTTCGCGCTGCGAAACGCGAAAAAGTCGCTTTCTGTCCTAGCGAACCACACCCTACAACCACTGCTCTACATGAGCCCTTAGGGGTCTTCCGATCAGAGTCAACCTCCCGGGATATTTTCAACGAAAGAGGCCGTCTTTAGTGACTCTAGCGAGGGGAATGGGAACATGCAGAAATTTGAATAGTTGGAAAACCTTTGAATCTCGTCCCTTCCCTCTGCTGCTCTCGACGCGTAACGCACACAGTTCCAAGGGCGGAGTCTCCAAAACCACCGACCGTTGGGGGATCGTGTTGGAACACCCTCTACAGTGGGTCTTTCACTTTCAAAATCATTCAGTGAGACGATTGACTCTCTTTCCACTATCATAACTTACAGCGTTAATTAGGAATTCTACTTCAGCACCCACAATCATGCCTATCTAATACTTGCTCCATTGAACAGAAACCTTGAAACACACTGTGCACATAGAAGAAAATAAACTGTGAACTGTTGAAAATGAGTGCTGATATGCATAAATTGAATTGGGTTTCCGCCAATGCAAAATCAGTGATGTTAATATATAATTCCTCAACAACTTAAAATGGGTTCTATGGAACATTCCACATTCACTTGTTGATCTAGGAATAGTAAGAAGTGATCAAAAACATATCTCTTGATACTTCATCATTTGCAAATGGTCACAAGTCAGCAGCCACGTTTTAATGTTCATAGTCAAAATTAAAGGCAAAAAAGAAGCGGTGGGATCAATGAAAATTTTTAACCTATAAGGTCTATCAAACTGTAGCATGTATCCGCTTTCACAACTTCTCACCCAGTAATTGAACTTCCGGTTGAAGCGATAGAAAGCAAAAATTGAACCGCGCACAATACTGTACGCGTCACAGGAGTGCTAAACTCGATTACTCATCGCAATCAACGAGGGGATTCGTTCTCTTTGATAAGAGGCCCCCTTTCAGGGAAGCTGTGCAAACTCACATTCTGATAATACCGATCCTAGTCTATGGTCCTAAAGAACTTCGACTTTCGACTACCTGACCAATGGTGTGGTTCGTTACCCGGTTTGATCATTCTGTGCAAAAACCTTCGATTTTGAAAGATATTGAACTATGCGTCATATCAAAGATTCGGATCTTCGGTTGGCCATGCCCCTATTGTCTGCAAAATCCACAAAATTGCAGAGAAAACCCTTCAGGGCAAGCGAAGGACTCTTCATTCCTGCGGCAGGTTTGGAGCGTGCCCACCCTTTTGGTCTAGCTCCGCCCACTACCGTACCCACTCTTAATGGAGCCCCTCTCACTACCGCAGTTTTTTCTAGGTAGCAGAAGAACGTGCAGACAAGCAAGATGACAAACACTCCGAACTTTTGCTTCACATATATGAAATTATGACTGTGAAAAGACATAATGAATACAATGTCCTTAGGTTATCTTTTATAAAGTGGATAGAACCGCTAGCCATGGATGATAAAAGAATGGTTAATTTTCGGACTATCTAGATTTCTTAATGATCAGACTTTAGATCGCAGCATAGGACAGATGTTGTTGCATGAAGGTAACCAAGTGCCAATACAATCTCGGCACCATAGAATCGAGCTCGCGGCTCCGAGAAGCCCTCTTTCGAGGTTTGTACCTCACGATTCAGATGGTAATACAGATCACCGCCAATAGCGAATTCCATCACAAAGCATAGACGATCAGCCGTTTGGAACGAGTATTTCAGCTCCTGTACACAAAATTATTGAGAATAATGCCTATTTTTTAGCTTCATATTTATCGACGCGTCATATGGGTTATACCTCTATGGAACCACTTTAAGATCCCAAAAGTCATGTCTTAATCTTGAAAACCAAGCTAAAAAAAATTTTTTTTCACTAGTAAAGCAAGTAATTCCCTGGTCATGCAAATGTGCGATTTTTCCAACACATCCTTGCTCTTCGTTACAATGTTACAGGTCCTATACGCGGTCCTTGAAAACCTTGGGCAAGGCTTCTTCCAAGCTTCGAAACCTCCGCTCGCAAAAATCCTCCAGCTTGGCAAGTTTACGACAATGTTAAAACACCACACTTCCTTGAAGATAAAAACTCAATAGTTCTTTCAAAAGTTTCAATTGCTCAACAAGGTCTAAGCCTCCAGTTCTTGACAAAACTAAGTTTTATAATTAGATGCGAAAACAGATCCCATGAACGTGCTAACGTTTTCAATAAGAACGAGGCTAGAAATCTATGGCGAATCGCTGTTACTCGATAGCAGTGGTTAAGCGAGAAGCTTAAGACAAAACATTTGCAATGCAAAAGAGAAACCGCTCAACAATTAAAAAATTTTCCTAAGCTGATTATGAACTGGGGCAAAATTCTGCCCGATAAATGACGACAGTGGTGTGTTAATGGACCCGGCTCCCATCTGCAGAGGTCGAAATCATACTGTCATCGGCGGCGTGGGTACGCGACAAAAACAGAAGGCCCACGATATTAGCGCGGCAAAGAGTAGAGTCACGAACGAGACGCAGCGCGTGATGGCGAGTAGGGACGTACATGTAGCATTCTACTATCTCGACGCAAAAAATCATTTCATTACGCGCTGCGACTATGTCCGCGGACTCTGCACGTGTCTGTGTCCGCGCGACGGAACCTTCATGTCGTGTACCCTTCGGTGGGCAATTCAAGTCTGGAAAGATGCGCTCGCATCGTGCGAGCGTTTATGGAAGATGACTGTCGACAAAACGCCAATTGCCAATCGCACGATCATCGATTTACACGTCCTGCTCCAAATGCCGAACTGCAAGCCGAAACTGGCCAAGTATGAGGTAGTGCAGGACATTTAGCAAGACAGAGAATATGAATCCACTGAAGGCATGCTCATGGCAGCGCTTCCCTTCCTAACTTGCAGCCGAATCAGCATGATCACTGCCTTTGGACGGACGTTTTTCTTACTATGATAATGCTATTATAACATCTACCAAAGTGAAATTGATATGAATAAATCGTTAAGAAATAAAGAACAAGAACTGTCACTCTCAAACCATCTCCATACAGATACTCTAATGCCAGCTTCGAACAAGCCACATATTTACGCAGTTTAAAAGAGAACTTAGGAAATTGTAGAAAGTGACCAAGAAACAAAAACTGGGGATACTCACTACTATCTAAGGGTCCATTTTAACAAAATTCTTTTCAAGATTCCCCAGAAATGTAAAAAAAAAATAATAGAGAACCATGCAGTTAATTAGCCCTTGCTTCCAGATGCTAAGTAGTTCAAAGTTTACAAAATATACAGAGATAAATAAGGAACCACACCAAATAAACCACAGAAGTCGTGCTTGCTGGTTTCACTTATCAGAAGAATTTAATCTTCACTAGGAGGCAAAACAACACTAACGAAACACAACTTCTGTAGAAACAATTACGAAACATGCAGTAACTTGATCTAATAATCGATCGAAACACAACTGACTCCCTGGGAAAGAAATGAAAACATACCTTCATATCCCTATAGACAATCGAAAGACTGTGTGCAAATCCCAGAGCAAGCACAATCTCCGCTCCGTAAAATCGTGAACGCGCTTCACTGAATGTACCGCTCTTCTGCAGATGCGTGAACAGCTCCCCTCCGTTGGCGAATTCCATCACGAAACACAGGTGATGCGTTGTTTGGAAACTATACGTCAGTTGCTAAAAACACACGACCAACCAATAGGCGTTCCAGGCGATGTGAAGATGTGCGCGTGTTGCCGTCACGTTGATGGTACAATTCAAAGCTCGAACAACACGTAAAGGGTGTTTAAAGAAGCACAACACAATAGAGCTACACTACGTCTACTGGAAAAGCTCCACAAATTTGCTAAGAGGAATGAACTACGATAATAGAACTTGGAAAAAAGAGTGGCCGAAATACAGGCTCAATATAAATTCACAACACGGTAGAAAATTTTCAAATTTAGCCTCGATTAGTCATTGGCTATGCAAAGATGCACTGAAAAAAGAACACCAGAAAAATCGGAGAAAATTTCTGTGCAGCTCACTGAAAAGTTTCGAGCAAAATACTGTGCCAAAATGCTAGTAAAAATGAGCGAAAGCATACGGGTTAAAAATCCGCAAAACATTTATCTTTGGTTTATTTTTTGAATTTTTTTTCTTGCAAACAATTAAGCAAAAAGGAAGACGCTGCTAGAACATTATTTGGAAAATTTCGCTTTGTGCTAAGTTATGAAGAAAGTTTTTTTTGGAAGCTTTCAAGGCTACATGTCCCTTATCAAAAGTTTGACCGCAGAAGTCGCACTCGGAAGTCATGCCGCTACAGCTGTACGATTTGTGAATCGACTTTTACCTGTTTCATTGACCAAAATTTGCTGAATATTACGGGTTAAAAAGGAACATCCACTCAATAATTAGTCCCTTCGAACGAGCAAGGTGACATTAAATGACCCTATAAGATGCATGTGGTGCATGGCGTATCCGAAAGAACTGATCAAACAAAAGACTTCCCCTCTTTGGCGCTCATACATGAACTCGTATATTCGAAGATGTCGGAGGAATGCAATTATAGCTGATTCTTTATAGGGGAGGTATCCGGAAAGTGAGGGGCGAGAATCCTTCTTGGCACTAAAGAACGAATTTTGTTATTTGATGAAAATTTACCATCGTGTCATGAATATTATCATTCCTCTAGCAAACTGTGGATTCAGCGTGTAGACAGAGCAAACTAAACAAACAAACTACGCGATGCAACATAGCGCAAAATCGCGTATCATCGAATCTTATTGTTAGCACGTCATTGTTTCAAAGTTGCCCCATTGATAGATGTTATGTTCTCTTATGGGATCGCACGGAGATTCTAAATACCCCCGAAATCCTAGATGCGGCGATTATAATAAAAAATGGATTAAGACGTGTTACAATGTCAGAATAACGTACCGTCAGGAACGGATGCTTGCATCTTTGTAAAACACGATTTTCTGTTAAGGTATGGGTGACTTCTTCCTGAAAGTGCAAGAAACTAGTAGTTACATGCAGTAAACATGCTATAAAGTTAGCACTGAAAAGAACCTTACCCTGGCTATAATAACTTCCTTTTTTAATATCTTGATAGCATACAATTTCGATGTTCGTTTTTCCTTACATAAGATAACTTTTCCGAATGTTCCTTTACCAAGAACTTTCAAGAATTCGAAGTCGTCCATGGTCTAAACAAAGAAGTTACAAGCTAGAGGAATTACTGCCTTCAGCAATTTCATACTGCGAGCATAAAAAATCATTCTCACAATTTTATCTCTTTTAGCTGCTTCACTGGTGTCAGCTATGCTCATCATTTCACCTCTAGTAGACACTGATGCAGTGTTCGTTGATGAAGGCATTGACGGTTGACCCATGATTGCGTGAGCCGCAGCAGCATATTCATTAGAAATATCGTCTACCGATGCCTAAAAATGACCACTAAATATTAATTATCGCAAATGGATAAAGTACATTTAGTAATCTGAAAGCTTCAAGGAATTTCAAAGTTCCATTGCTTATAGGAAAGAAAAACCAAAAATCACGAAAATAAATATTTCAAGATGATTTTTCTCTGAACTCCCGAACAAATGCCTTAGTGTCCAGAGAAGCCCGCATAATTCACCGTAATTAAACAAATCTCCATAGTAAACAAGCACAAGACGGGTTTCACGACGGCTTCGGTTTTGATTCTGAAAGGTAGCAAAAACAAAATTCACGCATCATCGAAAACCGCAAACGCCTATACGCACGAAACTGAACGTTTTACGCAAAAAACATAGGTAAAGAAGCGCGAGGAACTCTTACGGCCACAACTGAAAATTTCAGGGCAGTGAAACGGTATTGCAGACTGAATGACGCACATTTTCTATTTGCAAAACAACGCATCAAAAATCAAGATTCACACGACAGGCGTCGGAGTGGAAAATACGCCTTTAAGGAGTTCACCAAAGTTCCTGTTTGTTTACAACTACGTCTACACGACTTCAAGCGCGCAGAATGTTTCCCCGTTCCTTAGCGACTGTTGGAGCGCCCTGTACTATAGGTACTCATCTCATCTTTAGGTGGAATGCACACTGAATATAAGGGATCCGCAAACTATAAACGCTTCTGGAAGAACAATGATCAAACATGGATGGTCTGTTTACAGAAAGGAAAATCGGCCAGGATGTTGGTCGACTGATGAGCATTTCTTTTTGAATATGGCTCGAGAGGTAGCAACTTAAGCGCGACTGAACTAGGCTAAGCCTCTTAAATGTGATTGTACTTCACAAAATAACAAACAGCTTGAAAAATTGCTCAAAAGCCCGCGACGAATCAAGCTACTACTTCTATTGCTGACACTAGCAGCACCTTGAAATTACGTGATTGATCTCAAAGAATTAAGCGTGGTATAAAAAAAGACAGAAGATGAACTTCAACGTGAAAAGACGACAACATACGCTAGGTTACTGTAATTTTGTCGAAAAATGATGATAACTACGCATATGTCATGACATGGTACTATGACAGGTGCCAGTATTCGGTAAATGGGAAAGGGTGTTAGATGAGCTCGTGCTATAAGACGAGCTCGTGTTGATATCCTACACAGGAGGTGGAGTTAAGTGGTCGCGAGACTCTTCCGTGAGACGCTGAGGTCAGCTGATGATAGATTCAGCCATTCACGATTGCTCTGTTGACGTTTAGCATCCAGAATAAATACGATACTGTATCACACTAATAAAAAGTTGTATAGGCCTTTTTGGTAGGCCTTGCAACTATGCGAATCACTGCGTTTCAATTTCTTACCTGGCTTACAACTTCCATCATCTCTTCATGAATAGGTTGAGGTTCCTCACTCATATGTTGTCTATAGCGATTTGCAATCAACTCAATCGCAGCAATCCATCGTTCACGAGACTGCAATAAGGAAAGCTTAAAACATGGGAATGCTTCAAAAATGTTGTTATGGGGCTTTGTAGACGCAACCGGCCCACTGAAAGTGGGGACTCCATGCTTGACAGTCCCATGCATACCTATAGCTCCAAAGAGCTCGATCACCGTTAAAAGAGGTCTCCTTGCGCAGACGACTACGATTCAGCAGAGAAAACGATTTGAATATCCCATTCACTCCGGTACTATTTTTACTAGTTCCCCAAAATAACCAAGTCAAAAGCGTGTAGCAGTACCCTCACGAACCTCAGCCGTTTCAGCGTAAAATGTGCGCTCTATGACTGTCGTCCACTGAAGGCATCGAATCATGAACATGTTTGGCCGCGGCTTCTCGTATCGAATAGCCTAAATAATACAGAAATAAGTACTGCTCAAGTTCCCAGATTCTATTCCCACACTCTTTATTCAGTCGTTTAAAAGAGAACGCAAGGTTCACTTCAACATTCCAGGTACCAAATATTTCATCCTATTCCCTAAAGCGCTACTTATTATTAAGATCGAATTTGGAAAAAATAGGGTGTAATATAAGCTGTGGCATCAAGTCATTAAAGTGCTTAAAAATTTCGATGAACCCATTTTTAAAAATTTTGTTAAAAAGGGTAGACTAAAAAGTTCAAGTGAAGGTTTCCTTTTGAAAAACATTTTCTGCAGAGAATTAGGTAATAGCTTTGATTTCCAAATTTCTTTCCTGTAGCTAAGCTATGGAAAACGAATAGCTTGCAAAGTAAATATTGCGCTACACGTAAATGAGCAACAAGTCCCTTTTCGCCTTTCTGATCACTGCTCAACGACCTCCCTGCTCACTACGCTGCCGACAAACATCAACACGTGCGGGCGACCTCGACGGCGTCTATTTGTCACCGATTCTCAAAGATCATGCGCATTACACCCTCCGTTTATTGTTCTCACATTTTCGGCGATAATCATATAGCGAAGAACAAATCAAAGTTCACACAAACAACAACAGGAATACTGAATGACACAAATCACATCGTGCTATCTACTAGCACTTCAATATCCTTGATTTACTTGCTTGGTGGTGTTAGTTTCAAATGATCACTGTAGGTTGTGAGCACTATTCGCGTTCTTATATTTTCCAACTGGTTTGAAATATCAATTCCATGTTGACTAATAGGAGAGCATCTTACTAATAGCAAATTCCAGAAAACATATTGGTAATTTTACCAAGAGGTCCTTACAAGGGAGGTCTTTCAGGACATGGAGCGCTTTTTCGAAACGGTTTCTGCATGTTGTAGGGGCTCATGCGAGGAACACAGAACCATGATCCATTTTTCCTGAACGCCTCCAGGAATGTCAAAACAGTGGTGAAGAAATGGTCCAGAGTTCGATCCCCGGTGATGACTAATTTTTGCAATATAGTTTGGCGCCCCCAGATTGCCGCCAAATGGCGCCATCGTCGAGAATAGATGTCATTGTCGTGTTTTGCGGCAATTTGGAGGCGCCAACATAAATTGCAAAAATTTGTCATCACGGAGGATCGAACTTTGGACCATTTCTTCCCGCTGTTTTGACATTCCTGGGGGCGTTCAGGAAAAATGGACCATGGTTCTGTGTTCCTCACATGAGCCTCTACAAAAACAGGAAACCATTTTGAAAAAACGCTCCATGTCCTGAAGACCCTCCTTGTTAGTTTATCGGTACCATACATCTGCTTTTGTTTCCCAAGTCAAAAAAGAGAGTTCGATACAACAATCCCTTTGCAAGGATGATGAACTGCTTGGCAAGTCACCTCAGTCAAATCGTTTTGCCAGCGAATAATTCGCTTTGAAAACGACAATAATAACATAGAGAATCACGATACCTCTACCAATCCTTCAATAATATTTTACTTGCAAAAATGGCTCCCTGCTTCAAACAGACTTCCGGCTTTTGAAGGATTCCAGACAGAATCCTATGTGCACCTACGCAAAACGCCTTCATCATCATCCCCATGTACGATATATTGACGAGGCTTCGTCGCACCGACAGCGGTGCGAACAAAGCAACAAAAGTACAGAGCGTATGAGCAAGCCAGAAAGAGAAAAAAACTACCTACATCATCGTTGAAAACATGGCTTGAAGGAGAAACAAACAAAAACAGTGACACATGATAGCGCACCTGTGCGTCTTTCACCATGAAATCGTTGAGCGGCTCTGGAAACGGTTGTCCTGCTTTCGGCTGTGATTTGAACCCCAGTAATGCTCCATCGTGGAACAAAATGAAATATCTAAAAGAAGATGCTAAAGAATCACGATCCTCTAAGTTGTTAAAGTAACGCTGTTCTTCATCTCAATTCGTGGTCTTTTAAATCACTTGACGGCTTGTTGAGGAAAAGCGCGACTGATAACAGGACCTTTCATTTCTAGATTATTAATCAACGGACCTCTCGAAAGTCAATGCATAATATTTCAGTTTAGCTCTCTATCCTCTCCCACTAGGACTAAGACTAACGCTCCAAGGCAGAATTAATCCATCGTAGGCTGAGCTGTGCACGTACGTCAACACTCTCAGCCCAAACCAGCCTGCTCAAGGAGAGTTTATAGAGAAATGCTAAACACGTATTGCTCGATTCTCTACAAAGAAATCGGGCATGACCAAACCACCCGATCTTTCCAACTCTTTTCGAAGACCCGGACCACCCCCCCCCCTCACTCCGAAAAAAAAACGGTGAGTACACGTTTGGCAAACCTAGCTCTTCGCTAAGGTCAATCACTAAAAAGCAGCACCTCAGCAGTTAAGCCAAACGTTCAAAAAAAACATCAACCAACGAATGCAAAATACCTTGGCCTCCAATTTCTTATATGCTCTCCTTTTTTATGCAGCCAGCCCTCAATGACAATATCTTCGGGACGCCGAGACTTTGAGCTCAAACTAGTCATCGACATGGCTGCAGTTAATTCTGCAATGAAAAACAATTTAGAACAAAAACGTTTAACATCAATGAAAGCTTCACCTTTCATCGTTGGTGATGCCTATGAATTGATAAGAAATAGGCGGCAACGAGCTGAGAGCGATGCGACTAATATGCAGCAGTGGCAATCTACGAGGTGTGGAGTGTGAATCCCGGATATAAACAGGATTAGTAGAATGGGGATTTGTCGAGGTGATTTTCATTAAGCGGCTGCCGACGTCGTGCTTCCGGCGCTTAGCTCAACGTCGATATTGCTTACGTGGTCAGATATTCAAAGAATATGAAGGGATTGTAAAAACTAGAATCTATCAACACACTACAGCAACTTTAAGGCAACAACCCCAGAGTGGGATAACAACGCTCTATAATGAAATTGTGGATGGAGAAGAAACCCAAAGTGAAAAGAAACCAAAGAAAACCGCCGACGAAGCCATTTACAATTCCCCCTCTTCCTCCTTTAAACACAAAAGGAGAGGGACCGGACGAGTTTTCCGAACATGCTTGTTCTATGCCTATGGCCGATGTCAGACTTTGCGATTGGAGCGATTTTGCACCAATTGCAGGAGCGACGGATCGCTTGAGCGATGCGAGCGACGGGAGATTTACACCGCCGACCACCGATAATTCGGCGCCATCAGTTCGTAAATCTCCCGTCGCTCGCATCGCTTGAGCGATCCGTCGCTCCTGCAATTGGTGCAAAATCGCTCCAATCGCAAAGTCTGACATCGGCCATTGCTGTGCGACAGCTACGATCGTT